CCCCCCCCCCCACACACACACATACATCTGCATGCAATCAAAAATGAAAATGAGGCTCTCTACTACAGGTCAGATACAAGTTAATGCTTAGTCTTTAATAAGTTTGGGACTTTTCTTTGGTTTTGATATTTGGGCTGTGCCTGTACATAAACCTTTTGGTTTTGTATGATTTCATCTGGTGTAGTGTGGATGATATCGAAAGGTCCTCCCTCATTATGGCTGTCCAAACTTCTATATTGGACTGCCTGTGACCTGAACCCATTCTTTCAGTAAAGAAATGGGTTTCTGCAGGATAAAGACAAAACTTTTGCCACAGGCCAAAATGCGTGAAGGAAACATTTAAAAAGTAAAACAATTATTTGTTTTTCATTGACTATCTGGAAAGTTAACAGTTGCACATGTTTATTCACCCACCTACCCTCCTCACCCCCTTTCTCGAAAAAATAAAAGAATTGATGCTGTTATACTGCTCAAAAAGTTGTTTTCCCTTCCTCAAATGCGCTCAGTGCTGTACAAGTAACTTCTTAATTTGTCATATAAAGTTTTATGCACGCCTTTATAAAAACCACATTCCTAGCTTTAAGTGCTGTGGCGTTTATGCAGATGTTTTTGTGTAATTTTGTGTCTGTACCCGCTGGTTCATGTAATTACGTCATTTACTGAGGCTGCGATAGTGGTCTGTTAATAATGTGGTAAATTGTGCGTGGGCCAGTCGACAGAGGTATGAGATTGCAAAATGTGCAGCCTGTGTTCTGAGATCTGGCCTTGTAAAGTTATTTTGTTACAGAACATGGGTTAAAAAATTCTTAATTTGGCAGTACTGGCGTAAGCTGACAAAATGCCTTTTAAAAGAATTCATGGCAGTTTTGAGTAAAAGAGGGTTTTTTTTGTCAGCGTAACCATTTTATGATAGTGTTCTTCCAAAATTTGAATTCCAATTTATTTTTAAAAATTGTCACAGTTTCAAGTTGACTTTTTCACACTAATAGGGTAACAGATCAGACTTTCGATTTAGCAAATACAAAATTTTGGCGCTAAAATTTTAAAAAATAGTTTTGTCAGCTTACGGCAGAGTAATTTTTGAGACAACCTTCAGTGGGAATGTTTGGTACAAAAACTGATACCAGTCTGATGTCATTGAAGGGCACAAGAAGTCATCAGATCTTTTTCCTATTTATAGGAGCCCCACAGTTCAGTCCTCAGTCCAGTTTTGTTCACCATTTATACCACTCAGCCACTTGTCAGGGAAATAATTAAGTATGACTTAAAGTATCATTTCTATCCTGAGGATACCCAAATTAATGGTTCGACAACATTTACCGTCTTTTATAAACTTTTCCATTGTGTTGGCAATTGTATTGGCTCTGTAAGAAACTTGATATACAAAAACAAATTGACGTTGAATGATGATTCAAGAAGTCATTTTTGCAGGCAGTGCAAAGTCTATTAATGAGCTTGACAACGATCATAATATGAATATTGTTGATGCAGAAGTTGCATTTTCAAAAAAATGTTAAAAGTTTTTTCACCTACTTTGGTTTTAATTTGTCGACCATCTGGTCAGCTGCATGTGTTTAGAAATTCGAAAAATTAGTAAAATGCTTCATCTAATCAATACTAAATATACTGCATTATCATTAAGTAGCTTGGTTTTGTAAAGACTTGATTGTTGTAACTTTTTGTTTTCATGAGTATCTCTGTAGAAATAGAAAAGACTGCAAACTGTTAAAAAAATGCTGCGCGTTGGGGTTGAGGGCTATAGAAATGTCATACTTTATTATTGATATTACAAATCAGATTGAATTGTTGTACAAAGATAATATAAAGTTGGTTAGCAAGTTTTAAACACTGAAGAGGGCATGTGGAATAACGACTGGAGATGAAATAGGTTGGAAACAGTCTGTGTTTCTCAGAAAAGAAAAATTTACATAAAGTTAAATGAATATTTGATTTACATATATTATTTTTTTTCTGGAGAAGGAGTAACATAGTGTTATTATGAATAGTCATTCACTATACTGGAGGAGGGAATTTCCATACTGTTTAAATTTGTTCCCTATCATGGGGAGTATGATATTGTCACTGACATATGAAATTTTCTTTCTTTTTTTTCCTTTGATGTCCAGATATACAACTCGAGAACATTGAGATCTGATGCCCTTATAGGATCCTTCAAGGTAAGGTTTTGGACATTAGGTAGCTTTACAAGGGTTCTCTTTGATTCATGTGATGAGTCAAGGACGATTTGATGAATCTTACTGAACTCTGTTTATTCTGCTAATATCTTGCAGAAGCATGTATATGCGGTTTGATTATCACTTCAGTATGCTAGATATTATGTGTGTATATGTGCATTATGCATTTACACATGGGTTTGTTTGCGTGTGAGCCTACTTGTGTGCACACGTATCCATATATGTTCTAGATAGATGTGATGATTCGTTCTTTTTGCTTATTTTAATGTTGCACGCTTCTTTTGTTTTTATGTAGCAGAATATATGTGCAGATTTTTCCCCATTTTCATCTGCTGTGTTAAGTGTACTCTTTTTCAACTTGTTCTTTAGAATTCCATACGTGTTCCTTATTAACTCTCCCTTTGTCTCCAGTTTTATGTCTTGTTAGCTTTCTCTCTGGGGTAGTCAACTTTGTATCTTTGTCTTTGTTGTTTTTGTCTGTCTCACATTTCCCCAGCACAGAATATATAATACTATTATTGTGTCAACATACTTGTTTTTACTCAAATCAGTGTGACGTTGGACTAATCTACGATGAGCAACAGCATGCCCTGATCAACAAGTGGGTTCTTCTCAGTGACCCTGAGGATGCCACGTCAGGCGCCAAGGGCTACCTCAAGATCAGTGCCTGTGTCATGGGGCCCGGGGATGCTTCTCCGGTCAGTGATTACTGCAGACAAGAGTACAGTTCAAATTGTTTAACTCTTTGAACCCCATCGGACGTAGGGAACGTCCAGTACTAGTGCCGACTGTTTCTTTTTATTTAGTGCTAGTTTTTACTTCTTTTTCGAACTATTCCCAATCCAACTTTTTTAGTTATGACTAAACCGTCATGTCCGCTATTTAGAAATTGGAGGCAAGCTTTTGGGGTTATAATGAGACATAGTGCACCAGGTGTAGGTGACTGTAGAAAAAACTCAGGGAAACGGTGGAAAAAACTCAGGGCTCAAAGAGTTAAGACGGCCATCCCATTGTAGTGGAGAAAACAGGTTGTTATAGACAGGTGGACGTTTTACACGGTCTCATTATAATATTTTTAAAATTGCAAGGGAGGAATACGTGATTTCTTATACAGGTGGCCATTATAGCAGGTGCGACTGTACTCACAGTTATGATTATATATTCTTAGTTTGCTCGTGAGAAGAGTGAAACTGTTAACTCTTGTATGTTGGTGTAGTGAACTCTTCAAACACTCTTAATTTTATCACAAAATATTTGTATCTTTAGGCTCAAAAACAGCGCAAGAGGGCTAAATTTTAGTCTTTATATTTTACAATTTTTAAAAACATATTTATAGCCTCAAAAACAGAACAAGTGAGCTAATTAAAAAAACATTTTTTAGACCTTATAATTTTTTAAATTATATAACTATTTTTTTTTTTTTACATTTCTTTATAGCCTCAAACACGACACAAAAAGGTTCAATTTTTAATCTTTATAAATGACTATTATTTATGTTGCAAGTTATTCACCCTCTTGTAGCCTGAGCTGATAATTGAATTGTGGTACAGTTTTGGTGGACATGGGATTATCTCATCGCACTCCCACTCTAAATGACATTGCCATCTTTTTCTCTTTACTCTCTATTATCTATCTGGTTGACCAAAGAGGTAGCATTTAAGATATCAAGAGTATGCATTCACTCACCATTCGTTTGTTTAATATGTTTACTTGTTTCTATGATAGTCTATATACTTGATTGTGCTTCAGCTCTGCGTTTACATTGCATTTTATGTAGTTTAGTGCAGCACCAAATTTAGACAAAAATTCTACCTCTGAAAGCAAATTGTCTTGCTGACATATCTCTTTATGTATTCTTTACAGAACATGGCCGCCAAGCCGGATGATGAAGATGAAGATATTGAGAGGTATGATGAATGTTTTGAGAATTCAGAAAACAAAGACAGTTGTTGCTTTTTGTACAGTCATATGTAGATGTTTGCCCTTTGGTCCAGTGTGTTAAGGGTGGTGGTGGGTAGAAACTGTTTAAGACCGATTTAACCACTCTTTAAAAATGTCTGATCATGGAACATAATTCTCTGTCATGTGTAGATGTATTTTGAGAGAAGCATTATGGAGAGTGTTATTAGACTCTGTAAAATCATAGAAGAAACAGGTTACTAGTTCCGACAATTTTACAGTCTTAAGCACAATTAGCTTTCTTGACGCTGACCACTTTGGCTCTACAGCACAATCACTCTACAGTCATCATCATCAATGCTTTTCACCCCTGGCAGGGTATAGGCCACATACAAGCTCCTTCCATTTATTTCTGTCCTGGGCCATTCTTCCTAGCTCGTTCCAAGTGAGCTTCATCTCTCTCATGTCCCTTTCCACACATCTCCTCCATGTTTCCTGTGGCCTACCCCTGCCTCGTGTGGGTTCCACTGCAGCGACTGTCTTGTGATGTTTCCACTGGGCTTTCTGAGGGTTTGTCTCATCCATAGTAGTTACTCTCTCATTCCTATTTCTACAGTGGTTTATTCAAATTTGTTTGAGCTGCGCTGACGTTGTCCAGTTCAGTGTGTTCTGCGGGTCTTGGGGGGGCAGTAGCGGCTATTTTATTGAGTGGTTAGTGTGTTCAGACTTGCAAATAATGTCAAGCAAGTGTCAGAGACAGGGGGTTTAAATCCTTGGACACTGGGGTGTGTCCTTGAGCAAAACAGGATAACCCTTATTTAAATAAAACAGGGCACTGCATAGTGGCAATTAGCAATGGCATTTTTGTAAAATTGTCTTCATTGGTGTTATATTGTGTATTTGATATTCTATGTAAATGCATATTTGTGAGTGAAGATATGTATACGTGTATGTATGTAGGCCTATGCCATTGAAACCCAAATTTCCCCCTGGGGTTCATTGAAGTGTAATTTATTTATTTTTAATCTTTCTAAGCATGCGGCAATGGAGTGAGTGACAGACTATGTCAGTCAAGAGTCACACAGCAGATGCTTTGCAAGAAATTGTGCTGGAGTTTTGTAGACTCATCTGTGACACGACATATATTGTATCCAGTATTGCGTTGAACGTCAAGGAAAACCCAGTGGAAAAGAAAGGCTGCAATCACAGACTTTTCTCTCTTCCTCCACAGCAACCTGCTGAGGCCAGCAGGTGTTCAGCTCAGACCAGCTACTTTCGCTCTCCGCCTGTTCCATGCTGAGGACATCCCACGGAGTATGTACTGGTTGTTGTTGCTCATATTGTTATTGTTATCATTACGGATTCACTGGGTCAGTGGGTGGTTGGAGGGCTCTACTATAAGGTCCTACGTTTTTTTCTTTCCCTTTGTTGTTTCTGTCTATCTGTCTTGCTTTTTCCCTGCACAATATTACCATTATTGTGTCAATGTGTTTCCCTTTACTCAAACTCAAACTCAATGGTTCAAAGGTTTTTACTCTTCTGCCCAGTGCCATATATCAGTGCCTCCATACAAGTGGAGTGTGGTTTTTAAGGTTTTACGTATATAAAGGATTGTCTGTGTGTCGATGTATGGAAAAAGAATTGGCTGTTGGCTGCTGGGGATGGGGTCAACTGAAAGACTTATGATAGATGTTTTGTTTCAAGTGTTCCCACATGTGGCAAGCTGATTTTGGTGTAGCTCCTTTACGTGAAAATGAAGTATGGGCAGTTACGAATGGCTTTCCTTCATTGTGAACAAATTTTAATGGTTATAGTAATTTTCTTTTCAAAAGCTGCAGCCAAAAATCATCACCTCATTGGTTGTGTAACAAGTATTATAATCTGAAGTTATCGGTGCTGTGGAATAGGAACAAATCTGTCGATATTAAAAATAAAATTGTTGAATGAGTATTGATTTTTCAAGTGCTTTCCAGCACCATTAATTTAGTACATTTGATTCTTTAGAGTTCTATTTGACCTTTGCTGTTGTGTTTCCCTATTAACACAACAACCCTGTGCTGTTTACTATGGTGAGCTCTTTTCTCTTTTGAAGTTAGACAAGTGTATATGAGTCTGTATAAATTCCTGCTAATATAATACATATTCATTGTGTTTGATAGGGTGTTAACTTAAACTTCAGCAATAAAATAATCCGTCGTTTGTTCCTAATCTGTTTTTGTTTCTTTTACTCATTCCAGTGGACTCGGCTTTTCTCGAGGGTGTGAAAAAAGTGTTCAGGATTGGTGAGGAGCAGAAGGAGTTGGTCGATCCATATTTTGTCTTCAGTTTTGCCGGCAAAGAGGTAATGTGTATACACTTTAATTTTTAAATTACCGATCAAAACTTAATAAAAATGGAAGTTCGCTTTACACACCTTTGCAAAGGAAATTTGGGTTATCATAGCGCACATCTTTTCTGTCATGTTCAAGTTTGTGATTTTGTTTTGTAACAAATGTTGTGATATATCTATAATCCCTTGTAAAAAGTGCTTTACTAGTTGTACCAGAATAAAAGTGGTTCATAACTTCACCTCTTATGTGGAGTGGGGGATGCGTGGGCTGGGGAGAAGGGGGCTGGGGATGACTGTATAATCTAGTTTGCATTAAAAATTATTTATAAGCTCAGTTTGCATTTCTTAAACCCGGACCAACCTTAACTTACATCATAACTACAACTTGCACTCAATGGTCAATGCAATCCTCTCTCAAAAGCACTTTCTTCCATATCTTCTTTCTCTTTCTTGTTTCTTTGGTAAAGCTGTGAATTCATTCCTATTTAGTGGGTGGTTGGCGGGTCCTCTAGTGTGGTTTGCACCTTCTTTCCTTTAAAAAATCTATTGTCTCTATCTCCCCTCCTTCTTTTTTGTGTTTGTTATTCTCTTGTAACACCTCTAATCTTCAGCACTTATATGACCTTATTGTGTTGCAAGTGCCGTAAAACTCTTACTAAAACTAAAAACTTGATTCCTATTTGGTTTGTCCACACAGGTCAGGTCCAAGATCATGTACGCGAATGACCACCCAGACTGGTATCAGGAGCTCAGGCTTGGACTTCAGGTGAGAAAATATGGTCCTTCTAGACCTTTCACAATAAGAGCCATCTTTGAGCTTCTTGTTAAATACCCCGATAGAAACGTGCACTACTGTTGTAGCCGTGAGTTCAACTCATGAGTGACTTTCTTATTCGACATGACTTTGACATGGACGGAGGGTATCGTAGATAGGTTTTTTGTTTAATCTGGTCTACTGTTCAGAGGTGTAATGTGCAGATGATTGGAGGGTGCCACTGGTAGGTCTTCTTTTTCTTACCAATCTGTTTTTTCTATCCATCTTAAATTTCCTTGTGGGTGGTTGGCGGGTACTCTGATGAGGTTTGCTCCTCCTTCTTTCCCGTCAAACACATATCGCCCTTATCTTTCCTCCTACTTTTTTTAGTGTTTGTTACTCCCTTGTAACACCTCTAATCTTGGGCACTTATTTGACATAATTGTATTGCAAGTGCAGTAAAACTTTTATTAAAACTTGAAAACTGTTCCTACTCCCTGGCCCAGACTGACCACCACGTGTACTTGTTATATATATTATTATTTTTTAACCTTATTAGATGGTGACTCATAGCTGTAGCCGTTTGTTATCTGGAAAAACACTGTCTCTATGTGAAACTGACCTGTTTACAAGGATGTACTTTTCCCACAACATGGGTAGCAACGAATAATATTATGTAACGATAGGCGACACTGCTCTCTTTCAAGTTGTCCACTAATACTTTCAGGTCCAACGTGGACTTTTGCATTTATAAATATAACATGATACAGCTGGCACGAGGTTAATGCTGGTGTTAAAAAAGTAGAAATCCGTTTGCCTTATATGTCTCTCTGTCTGTTTGTCTGTCTGTATGTCCACTTGCCCCTCTCTCTCTCTCTCTCTCTCTCTCTCTCTCTCTCTCTCTCTCTCTCTCTCTCTCTCTCTCTTCCTCTCTTTCTCTCCCCGTCTCTCTCACTCTCTCTCTCGCTCTCTCTCTCTCTCTCTCTCTCTCTCTCTCTCTCTCTCTCTCTCTCTCTCTCTCTCTCTCTCCGAATGCTGGTGGACTAGTTTAGTGATGTACTCAATCAATCCTTCAGTATGGGGAGGGGACAAGAGATATTATTTAATCCCCACAAATCAGCAGTACCTGTACTTTAAAACGTCTTCGTATTTAACAGGAATTTGTTTTGATAACTTGGAACTTTCTTGAAGCGGAATGAAATGTTCAAAGAAAATAATGTAATGAGCTCTGAAGAACGAAAATGCAGTGACCCCGACCTGTTGAAAAATGAAGGAAAAGGATTGTCCCACCCGTCAAAATCCGTAAAGAGAGAAAAAACGAGCCTTCAGTCAAATGCGTATTTTTTAGCAAGGAAAATGAACCACAAATTTGAATTAAGTATTGTTGTGCTTACGCTTGAATGTCTTATTCATAGAAATTGCGGCTTGCTAGTCTTTGTCCCTAGTTGGGCCTTGTATTTCTCTCTTTTATGCCGTTTTCTTTTTTCAAACGCGGGTGGTTTGAGGGCACCACTGTTAGGTCCTACTTCTTTATATGTCCTCTGTTTCTTGTCTAGATTCTATCTGTCTTACTTTTACCCGGTTCTAAATGACCGTTATTGTGTCGAGGTGCTTTTCTTTACTCAAACGGCGCAAACAAAACAAACACAGCTTTTTTCAAACTCTCGTGAAATAATTTGAAGCTTATATTTAGCTTTGGTTGCCGGCTGGCTGCATCTGTTCCTGTCGATTGATCAATCATGGATCGCCAAGCGAGGCACTGTGTGAAACATGAACTGGCCCGTCGATAATGTCACTTGTGTGGTTATGGTAATGAGTTGAACCTACTCGATGAGACCCCTAGGCTCTCCTCCGTAGACTCAGATACGGGTTTGTGTCCAGCTGGCTCCTGACGGTGTTTTTACCTAAATTGTATAGTAAGAGTTTTGTGTGGTTTTTATTGTCTTTAGAAGAGCCAATGTATCGATTGGAATGGCTTTGACAGAGAAGGTTGTCGGGAGGGCAGAGATGGGGAAGAGAGAGAGAGGGAGCATTGAAAGGGGGAGCCAAGTGAGGGGAGAGAGAGAGAAGAGAAAGAAGAGAGAGAGAGAGAAGAGAAAGAAGAGAGAGAGAGAGAGAGAGAGAAAGAGAGAGAGAGAGCCTGCATGAATATGATATACATAATATATGACTAAAGTACACAGGTGCTGTATTATAGATTTTGAGATACTTGTATTGTTAATTAACTTTGGGGCTGGTGTAGGTTGTATGAAGGAAGGCCGATTTGTGGTGTGCGTTGTTGTGTGTGTGTGTGTGGTAGCCTATCCATTCGAAATGTTCGGAGCCCCGAAGAGCGTGCTCTTCGCCAGGGCCAGCGCCTCCATTGGGTAGCGGGTGAGGCAGCCCAACCTCCCTGAATCCTCCCCGAAGAGATGCCACCGCCGGGGCATCTCTGCAGCCAGTGCTCCAAATCTTGGGGCTCCTCGCTGCACAATGGACAGATTGGGTCCGATGTTTTGTCTATTCTATTTCTGTAGGCTCGCAGCCCAGAGAAGTGACGGAGAGCCTTTGTAGTGTAGAGAAAAGATGATTCGCCATCGCATGTAGAAGACTTGAGTTCGATTCCTGTGGAGGGAGAATATTTATCGAGTTTATTATATCCGTCTTTCAGTAAAGACCTTGTTCCCCCCCCCCCCCAATCTGGGTTGGCCCTGGCTGACAGGTTCGAAGCCCGCCCCTTAAATTGTCTTAATTGTATCAAATGGGGGTAGTGAGCTTTTAGTTATATGGATTGCCCATTGGGAGATCGGGTCCGGCCGGGGCGGTTTGCTAGCCAGATTGAGGGCGCAAAGTGGCTATCGTGGCATAAACTGATCGCCCCAGACTCGTCGCCTCAAAAACAAACGCGTTTGTTTTCAAGCGACAAGTAGGGCGATCGCTCCGAACCCGACACGACCCGATCCCATCCGCAGTGGGCACCCTGTATTACCAATCTCTTCGACGCTGTCCACTAGATTGTACATTATCAACGAGTCCGGGGTGGGCCAGGCCAGATGGACTATGTTTCAGTACCCTCTCTCCCTCTCGTCCCCTCTAGTCCGTCAGGTCGTTGTGGGTAGTTGGCGGGTGATCTGGTGGGGTTTGCTCCTTCTATCCTATCAAACATCTATCGTCCTTATCTGCCCTACTTCTTTTTATGTATGTTGCTCTCTTGTAACATCTCTAATCTTCGGCGCGTATATGATCTATTTTGTGTTGCAAGTTCCGTAAAACCCTTACTAAAACTAAACGCCAGGTCGTTCTGCCACCTGTTGTTCCAGGCATGGGCTGATGTGGAAACTATAATTATGCCAGTGATATTATGAAGAAAAAAATACGTAATCATTATCAGGAATGATATGGAGAGCTCCGAAAAAAAGGGGGAAATAATAATTGAGTGGTTAATGACTGGCATTTGACCATTGGTTTTGCAGTCTCATAAAGGCAAAGGCTTTATAACATCCGCCATCAGATTTTTAATTTCGTTTTTGTGTGTGAGTGTGTGTGGGTTTTTTTTTTGTAATCGTTTTACGGCGGTTACACAGCCTAAGGTCGTATTACACATTTTCAGTTTGGTAGGAACTTATTTTTTAATTTTGACCAGGTGGCGGCTGAGGTCTACTCTTATCCCTTTTAGGACTTCCAAGGGATCTTTCACGTGCGCAACTTGCATACGGGACCTCCAAGATTTTAGCCCTTTTCCAAGAAGGCTTGGCGTTCAGTTTTTCCTACCCTTAGGTCAGGGATTTGACTGAAAGAAAGCAATAAGAAGGAGCCAAGGGGTAGGAGTAGAAAGGCAGCAGAAAAAGTCAGAAGCCCAGGGGAGGGGGCAAACTGTGTCTGTGAGGGGGGGGGAGGGGGCAGAAAGTTGAGAGGAAAGCAGACGACAGAACATGACTAGAGGTCAGGAAAGGAGGTGAAAGGGGACAATTTTAGAGAGGACATTTTCCGTCGCTATGAGGTTTCGAACACGAGACCAATTGAATGAGAGGCGAACACTTTACCGAAAGACCACGAGAGCCCCATATTCTTTTCAATGATCGAGCCAAAACAGTAAAGAGTAAAGAGTACTCTGGGGGCTCTTGTGACCTAGAGGTTAAGGTGGTCGCCTCTCATTCAAAGGTCCCGGGTTCGATTCCAGGTAGCGACAGAAAAATGTTCTTCTCTATAATGGTCTCCTTTCAGTACTTTCACCTCCTTTCCTGCTCTCTAGCAATGTTCTGTCGTCTGCTTTTCGTCTCTATACTTTCTGCCCCCACCCCCTCACTTCCTCTGGGCCCCAAACTGTTTCTGCAGCCTTTCTACTGCTACTCCTTGGCTCTTTTTTACTGCTGTCTTTCAGCCACACCCCCGATCTTCTGGTAGGAAAGATCTACATCTAGCCTTCTTGGACAAGGGCGAAAAATATTGGAGGTCCCGTGTGCAAGTTGTGCACACATCACACAAGTGATTAAAGATCCCTTGGTGGTCTAAAATCGATAAGAGTAGGGTTTGGCCTCCACCTTGGCATATAGGCCTATATGGACGAGGAATGGAAGAGAGGGAGGGGGAAAAAAAAGAAAAAAAAAAAGACATCTCGAAGTGTTGTTCACCATAAGCATTGTTTATTTCATGTTTCAAATCATGCCTTTTAATTTCTTACCCTCCCAACCCCCCTCCCCAATTCTCTTTTATTTTCAGTTTCCATCCATGTGTGAGCGGTTAAAATTTCAAATCAAAGATTGGTAAGTTACATTACTACCGTTCATACCCTTAAATTTTCTTTGTTTTTTTAAAATGAAATAGAAGAATTCTATTTGATCTGGCTAAAATGTACGAAGTTAAACCTTTTGAAGGTTTTTTATATTGGACATGTAATACAAAAACAATGTTATCATATTTTTTTTCCATAGTTTTGAAATGCACAATGTTGAATAAGTATGTTTGTTTACTTTTGGATTGTTAATTTTATAGGCTTGTTTTGTGTAAGTTGTTACGTTATAGCACAGTGGTCAATGATGTAGACAAGAATGTTCTGGTTTCAAGGACTTCCATCATTAACTTGTACCATGACTCACGTGTTAAATATGTTGTTGTTTCCTAACACATAGCTGTTATTTAAATGAAGTGTTTGTGCCGTTTAAACCCGTGTGTGTTTGTTTGCTGCAGTGTAATGAATACATGTGTTATCTTTGGTAACGGGAAAGAGATATTAATCCACAGCGTTGATGTGTGATTTAGATGAAGTGCACTATGCTTTTTGATCGAGTGCGTGTTTGTTAAAAAAAAATTGTGTTGTGAATGATAATTGGGATAGGGATAAGTTATTTTGATTTTTTGTGAATGCATAAATTGTTAACATAATGTGTAAATATTTAATGGTTCATTAAATGCTGTCACCCTCCTCTTGTCTGCAAAAGTATTCTCCCAGGCGCAGAGTCAAAAGATTCCATCTGCAATGGGACATTTTGATATTAAAGCTATCTTATTCTCTTACCTGCTTCCTCTCCTTTGCATTGCTTAAGTGTGTTCATTTCAGCAGTGTCTGTTAGTGGAAGTCCTCTTTTTGGAAAGACTGTCCAGTCTCTCTCTCTCTCTCTCTCTCTCTCTCTCTCTCTCTCTCTCTCTCTCTCTATGTCTGTCTCACTCTCCTGCATGGATTCCTTCTTACAAACGCACACACGAACATAAATACAAATACACATGTCTTATTCACACACACACACACACACACACTCACACACACGCACGGACACACTCACACACACACACTCACACACACACACACACTCACACACACGCACGGACACACTCACACACACACACACACACACACTCACACACACACACACTCACACACACACACACACACACTCATTCACACGGTCACATTTTGTCATATTATTATTATTATGATGTACATATTTTTGTCGGATGTTTAAATTCACTTTTATGGGAATACATTTTTTAAAATGCAGTCTGATGTATTTCTTGTGGGTACTTAATGGAGAATTTTAATCCACCATCCCATGACAATGTATTTATTTATATATTTATTATATTATATATATTTATTTGATTAATTTTGGGATGATAAAGAGGTCCAGTTCCATTGCAATTGTTTAAATTCCGTTTTCTATTTCCATAGCCTTTGCTTTCTTTTGCTCATAGAACATTAGTTGAGCTAGCTTCTGTCTTTCTTCCTTCCTACCCTTTTCAGAACTTTTTCTTTGCGTTCGTCCTGTTCCAAAATATGTAGTTTCTTGCAGTATTTCTATTTTGTCGACTCTTTCATTCTTAGTGTGAAGTAATGATGACGGTAACGTCCATGATGCTTAGTAGCTATATAACTAAGCATTTCTTTTGTTTGTTAGAGTATTTAAATTTACCCTCAAGAAATAAAATTGCATCATAAAACATTATACGTAGGCCCTACTTGCCGTCCAGTGAAAATATTTATCTGTGAAACAACAGTTGTTTTTTTCCTTTGTGTATATAATACAGTTAGAGTGTGGCACGTAAAACTAACGTTAGCATCATGCCAATAGAGCGTAGTCTCTCTCTCTCTCTCTCTCTCTTTTTTACAGGAAGTTTTAAGATTCTTTCTTATTTCACTATAATGACTGCCATTTAGACTTTTGGACATCTCTGAAAAAATGTATCTTGCCTTTCTACGTTTTTCTTAGATTATCCTGAAAACAATGCTTCTTTCTTTCCTTTTACTCTTTCTTTCGCTTTATAGTTTTTCGCTTAAAAGGCTAGGTGCTCTTGGTATTGGTTTGTTGATTGTTCATGGTTTTGCTCAAAGGCAAAAACCTGTTAAGGCTCGGTTGGGACACACAGCAGGTTCGAATTATCAACACCCACAGTAACTGCTGTCCTGTGTTGTTCTCTCCACTAGGAAGCAAAGGGCAATGAAGTAGTCAATTTAGTAGCAATGGGGTGAAAAACCTGGGACTCTTTTTGATATCTGTTTGGGGTTTTTCGTTTTGTTTGTTATTTAGAACAGTTAAAACATTTTAAAATCCAAACGCGGTAGGTGTTGTTTTTCTTTTTTTTGGGGGGGTGTGACTGTGGTTGTCTCTTTTTTTCTTTTGTGAACGTGCTGATGAGACTACAGTACAGGCGACAAGGGTTCGATTCCCTTTTCGGACCTATGTTTTTCAGAAAGTTTTGTTTTCCTGACTGCGCACCTAATCGGTCGGAAATGGACTAATTTGGAGGTCCTGTCCTTTTCAGAATAGTTGTTTTAGAAAGGGCGTGAGGCTCAAGAACTTAAATCCAAACCCCCCATTTCTTTGCTTCTAGGGACCGGTTGAACAACGACGATGGCATCTGCACTGAATATATTGCCACCCCCAAAATCTCCTCCTTGGGGGAAGATGGTTTGTCCCTCAACGTCTTTGTCTCTGTCACTGTGTCTGTGTCTGTGTGTGTGTGTGCGACACTCCCTCATGTCACGTCCAATCTCTCAGAGCACGCGGCCAGTGTTTGGTGAACTTCCACTATTCTACCTAGTAGTGCATGAACCTCCATCCGTTTTCTCACGGCTTCTACGCCGCGCATTGCTGCTTTGCTGCATTCTCTTTGGCGACCTTTGAACTTTCAGTCGCAGAGCTTATTAAGTCTGAATCAATATTGAATCATTCTACAGATCTTGAAACAAAATAGAAAGATAACATAGCAAACTGAAGAAAAAAAAAGAAACAAACACAAGTAGCAGGGGAAAAAGAAATTGTGGGGCTGGAATTTTTGGAATGGGCCAGAAAAACTATAGATCTATTCGTTTCTATTCATATAATATTATAAAAACCTTTTTTTGCATATTATTTTTACTTCTTAGTAAGTGTAAGGCTATACTAGATTCTTGTAAGGTACATGTATTTTTAAAAAAAAGCTTTGATAGCTGTGTGCTTGTGTGTCATAATGATTTTGAAGGGACTTTTCTATTCCTGCATTATAGCTCTCCAGCGGGGGAAATCAGAATAATAATACTTATGATGTGGTTATATACACTCAGGGTAATAGCTGTTTACTTAATCGGGTACCAAAAGTTATGCTGGTCATAGAATATTAATATAGCGGCCAGATGTTGTCAACAGTCTCGAGCACGATACACTTATTTTCCATAGCAGCACTGCTGCTGTTTCGCTTTTAAAATAGGGGTATTTGGCATGGCCTCTATGAGCGTTTCCTATCTCCCTCAATTTCCTGAGCAACTCCTTTGACTCTTTGTAATAATTTGTCATTTATTTATATTTGCATATTTTTATTCGTTTATGAAGTTAATTATTCGGAGGAATGGGGGGAAAGGGTGGGGGAATTCTTAGCAAATGGCATAATATGGAGACATCTCAAACGCTGGCCCACATGAGAGATTAGACGCCCTCAGACTCTTTGTTTCTGCCTTCCTGATTGGTGGGTGCCTTGCCCTCGGTGACCTTGACCTAACGTGACCCATGGGAGTGGTAGCCCCATGTGTACCCTAATAAACTAAGGAATGTAAACCTCCCGACTACCCATCTACAAAACGATCACTAACTCTGAAACTATTTCACTAACAAACTGGGATTTGGACAAGTATTACTACTAAATGTTTAGGTACTAGTTATTGTATTCTAGTTAATATAGCACCCCAACCTGAACTTTTTTGTTTCACCCAGTAGCTCAGGACGATTTGAGTTTCATCATGTTTACGACTGAGTATAATGTTTGGGTGATTGTTACAATATGTATTTCTGGAAATCCACTCATGTGAACTCAAGGAAATGTTGTGTGCATACATAGCAAAACGACTTGGGTGCAAAGTCAACATTCAGTTTTAGTCCCATAACAAAATATAGCCTGAGAAGGTAATAAATGTATCTTTTGCCTTTTTGCTGCTATTATAGAGCAGTGTCTTTTGTCTCTGCTTTGTTGTATGACTTGCTGCTGATTTCCTAAACACGTTCAATGTAACTGTTCTCATGCTTTGCTCATCTTTATTTCCTGTTTATTGAATGTTTGACTCGTAGCAGTATGTTACTTCTATAGGGCTGTTCTCTTTTCACAGCTAGCCTTTGCTTGCTTCCTGTGTCTTTCTTTTTCGTGATGGTTAAAGCGTTGCTAGCACATTTTATCTCACTTTACAGGTGTGTTAAGATATTGGGGGGGGGAGACGTGTATAGTCTTATTAGTATATTGTACACAATTTGTGCAATAATTTAGCTATCTGTTAACTGTAAACCAGGCTCTCCCCTCAGTAAACTGCCCATGCTGCAATTAACTTTTGACGAGTAAAGATAACAAAGATTATATTCACTTTTTAATTAGGACGATCATTGTGAACTTGATGTGTGTGAAACCTCGATAACGTCATTGGCTCTCAATCATTTCCACTTCGAGCCATTCTCTCCTTTGCATGCAATGCTCCTGTACTCTTCTGTAATGATGCTCTCCCCTTCAAACTTTCCTCCTAATTATGTTGTGAATACTGCCACCCCCCCCCCCCCCCTCATGTGAACAGCACTACCCATTGGATTTTCACGGCGCTCAGAAAATAGATAATTGTATACAAATTTAAGTGCCAAAAGCATTGACAAGTACGTGTGTGTTTACTAGCGTTCACAATAATGTAATGCCATTGATATGTTACCACGTGCAGGTGCTTATTGTTGTCCTATGAAGGACTTCAATCTCAGTATTATAATTGTGGGTAACTTTGTCACGTGGCACATGCAGTCGCAAGCTGGCCCGTGCGCTGCGT